CATGTCGCAATCCAAAAAAGGAAACAAAATGGTTGTAAAGGTGGTTGCAACCAGTGGTTGCAATTGTTTTTATATGACGCAAAGATGGTAGCAACCATCATCAAAAGTTGCAGCCGGTATCCTTAGTTTAGATGTGTCCAAATTCAGATGAATCGGAGACTCGAAGCTTTACTTCCTCAAAAAATAGCACCAGAATTGGCATGCAGTAACCAACTTTTTGTGCATGACAACTTTGTGACCCCAATTGTCCAAAGTAGATTATTGACGTTCTATGCTAACCAAATCACATCACACAGGATATAGAGTATTTTAATCCAATGTCATGTATCATTGCTTCTTCTGTTTTTACGAATAACTACGAGGTATGTATAGCCACTTTGTATCTGCGAAGCAAAATGATTAAACTTATTTTTGATGTCAATTTAAGAACAGTGTATTATATGAGATGTGTAGAGATGTGCTATTCATAGTAACCGTGATTTTTTTTTGCGCATAGTGTATATATATCATAAGGAGGGAAATATCATAAATGCGCATATAATAATAAGAAAGTAAATGGCATATCATATTTAATTTTTTTTTTTAGAAAAGTTTATTAATAAGTGAATGTCTATAAAAAAACCTTATGCGTAACACACTATGCGTGGCACATCTCTAGAGATGTGTCAAGTTACTAGGTCCCTACCTATCAGTAACGAAACGCCCATACCAGTATTATTACTATGTAGATAAATTTTTAATGAATTAGCTGTGAAATTGTGCGCAAGCATGTAGGTTGGTTAATCTCGTCGGGAAAATCTTTAGATATATATGTATAAAACAGGACCTGTTTGAATATGTTTTACATTCGAATAAAAAATTTATTAAATAAGTCATTCAGGAACACGTTACTGTAAAATAGTAATTTTACATATCACGAAGAAAACTGATCAAGAATTCAAATCAGTCTAATTCATATTGTTATTCTATCACCAATAAAATAATTGACTCACGGAATACCACAGAGAAATAAATATTCTGACATTCTAAAATACAACAGACCTTTAATTCTCAGATTAAATTTAAATGAAGGAATTTAAAACTTGAAAATAATTCTACAGTACAAACAACATGTCATATGATCATAAATCAGTTTAGGAGTTTCGAAATAGTTTATGAGTTTCTAAACTAGTTTAGAAAGGAGGTTAGAATTTAGAAAGGTAGCTTTAATTATATTATGAGCACAATCAAATTATTGATAGATGTGGAACTTGCTTTCTTTTAGCATCTTTTATAAATTTAATAACTTTGTTGATACATATTTTTTCGTATTATCGCCTAATTCAAATGGATTTTAAATAAATTGTCAAATAATAATCATTAGGAATTAAATGGTTTTTAATTTCATCAAAATTTTTCCTTAATTCATGATTTTTTATTTCGTCAAGGGCTTTGACTTAAGCCAAGGTTTTTACTTTCGTCATTTTTGACTTAATAGTAGTGGACTTGATAATATTTCGCCAAGCAACATAAGTTAGGATGGTTATCAACAACTATTGGAAAACTTCAAACTTATGCTGAAAATTTAAAGCTGTTATAGAAACAATTGATTTGATCACTGTGTAAGGTTTTATCCTTTAGGCACCCCAGTGAAAAACTAAAATTAATTGTATCCATTGTTTATAAGAGTAATTCTATTATTAAATAAAATAAAACGCATCTTTTAGGATATGGATTTTCCAGTACTCAAAAATTCAAATCACGATTACCAGAAAATGCATGGAATCTCCATATGATTCCCAGTGTGTACACTGGAAGCACTATTTCAGTTTGTTAACCGTTACAATGTTATCAGTTTTTGATTGAATTTGATTTTTATTTGCTTTTTGTCCAACCTGATTGGTTACTGCGAATATTGTAATTATAAACAATGTTAAATATTTCTTTTTTAGTAAACATAAAGAATTAATTTAAAATTTTCTTTCCCAAAGTATTATGAAATTATCATTATTTTTTTCTCCAAATGGAATATTTTAATGTTAAAAATCTGACATTCTTTTCTAAAAAACTTACATTAATCACTCTTTTGTTATGTTTATTTTTGATTCCTATTGTTAGAGCTCCACCACCTCCACTCTCTCCTTCAACTATTTCCACTTCCTTAACTGTTCCTACTTCTTCCACTATTTCCTCTTCTCACACTCTAATTTCCCCTTCACCTCTTTCACCATCTTTATTACATGAAGATGTTGATTCATCTTCTGCTGTTAATATTAATGAATCAAACTCTATCTTATATCTTGTTGATGTATCCTTATTAGCACTGGATATTGGCATTTGCATTTATTTGAAGAATACATATGAAAAGAAAAAAGCTGCTGAGCCTGATTTTATAATTTTATTAAGTTTTTTAAATATAATTCTCAGTACATTTGGAATGATCATTGGATGTGGTAAAACAACAAAGGCAATTCTACAAGGATTAACAACTATGATTTTTTGGCTTTATCCAGTAATATTCATATGGAATGATGATTATAAATCAAACAAGGAATTTGAAAAGGACATAATAATTTCTACAGCTTTGATAAATTTTTTAAATGCAATTCGCTTGTATAATAATTCAAAAGATTACAATTCTTTTAATATTGAAATTTTTAAAATAATTATGATTTTGATCAGTAATTATGATGAATTTCTAAAACCAATACTATTAATTATTCCATCAACTGTTCAAGGTGTGATCCTATATCCTCAATATGATAATATAATTGTATTGATTACTATTTGTTTATCCTTTGCAGCATCACTCAGGTTTTTGTATCAGAAAGCTCGAATGTTGGGGAAATCTCAAATGTATTTGGAATTCAATGAATTTCTAAACCTTTTTTTTGTGGAGTTAAAGACAATTTTTCTTAAAATTTGTTTATTTGGTGCATATTTTTTTATAGGAGCAATAGCAATTGTTATATCATATATTTTATTTTATTTGTGCTATTTTGTTTATATGGTTTTTTTGTTAATTTTTGTAGTTATTTTTTATGGTATTTTTTTTTTCATTATTGGTGTTTTTTTAATTATTATTTCACTAGGATTTGTACAAGCGCCAATACTATTTTCCTTCATATTTTTTGAGAGTATTCCTACTATTTACCCTTTAATTGTTGGACTTTTAGAAGTTTTTGTATATTTAGGATATTATTTAATAATGATTCTTGGCATCTAGACTTGTAGCTATTAAATTATTAAAGATGTATGCATGCATGTATTTTTTTTACTAGAGAAATAACAATAATAATAATGAACTAAAAAAAGAGTGAGAAATAATGTTGATTCATCACTCCCTGAAATTTTCTTCAAAATATGATAATTATATAAAACATCAAGGTAGAAAATTACAAGATTTTTAATATTAAAAAGGAATTTTACAAAATTTATTTTTATATGCTTGTAAAGATTCCTTCACCTTTCCGATTACATAGATAAACTCAATAAGTCAGACACTTGGTAAGTCGGATTGGGCCTAACTCGGACAAAAATTTCCAGTCCCTTTTTTTTTATTTTTAAAATTTTCTTGATAAGTCGGACACATATATAAACTCTTGTTAATCAGTAAGCCGGACAACTTCTCCAGCCAGATAATAATAAATGACTCTCGATAAGTCGGTTCGCGTGATTTTCGTAACCCTTGAGAGATAATCTTTACTATTTTTAGTAATGTATGATCAATAAATTTCTGTCATTATTCATGACAGATGTTGGGAAAAAACAGGTATTTTACCTGATAATGAAAGTTGACCGACCTATTACTATGGAAGTTGACCCTGAAATAGATGAATTACAATTACTTATTGATCAAATCAATGTTAATGATGATGATAATATTATTAAAGCAAGAAGTTACATTGAGATTGATTCTGATTTAGGAACTTAAATGCTTGATGATGACGAAATTATTGCAACAGTTCAAGAAAAAGAAGAAGAAGAAGAAGAAGAAGAAGAAGATATTGGCCCACCAATACCTAATAAAATCGTTTTAGAAAGCATTCAAAATCTATATGATTACTTGCAACAGAATAATAATATACTGTACATGTAAATAGTTCAACTGTTTCAGGTTTAAATGATTTAAAATGGAAAATTAATAGAAAACAAAATAATTCTTTAGAGAATTTTTGTCTTATCTTCTATCTGTTTTATTAAATCATTTTTTCAATTATTATTATAATTAAATAAATGATTTTCTTATTTTTTGTTTTTTTTTTTTAAATTGCATATTTTGATAAGTCTGATCTCTTGATAAGTCAGACACCATGTCCAGCCATTTATGTCCGACTTATCGAGTTTATCTATGTAAACAGACCAGAAAAATAATATCAATTGGTACATGTCAATTAATTAGGGATGGGATGGTTCGGTTCGGTTCAGTTACAATAGAACTGAACTGAACCGAACTGAACTGGTTCCAAAATAGATGTAACACAAAATATTATTGTCAAAACTAATTTTCTTTGAAAATTTTCACTACATATAAAATTTTCTTTAAGGGTATTACTTCCTAATATGAAATGTCCAGCCATTTATGTCCGACTTATCGAGTTTATCTATGTAAACAGACCAGAAAAATAATATCAATTGGTACATGTCAATTAATTAGGGATGGGATGGTTCGGTTCGGTTCAGTTACAATAGAACTGAACTGAACCGAACTGAACTGGTTCCAAAATAGATGTAACACAAAATATTATTGTCAAAACTAATTTTCTTTGAAAATTTTCACTACATATAAAATTTTCTTTAAGGGTATTACTTCCTAATATGAAAACAGTCTGTACTATCTATATAGTCATTGTCCATATTTAATATTAATGTTGACGATTATTTTTGTTTTGCCAATCACTAAATTGACCAATAGGAATGACAAAACGGATATTAAAATATCCCGATATGGTGAAGTGGTTTTGACCTCAAATAAATTTAATTAATATTAACGGATGGTCTTTTGGCGAATTGCAAATGTTTTTTTTGAATTGTATAAAAAAAAATGGACCTTTGGCAAATTGCAAAAAGGCTTTTGACATAAATCATTTTAAATGGACTTTTGGTGTGAATTGTAAAAGAATTGTAAAAAAAGACTTTTGACATTATCCTAATAAATCATTTAATTTGTAAAAAATAGACTTTTGGCATGATTTTTTGAATTGTAAAAAATGGTCTTTGGTGAATTGTAAAAAAAGATTTTTGAAATTATCTTAACAGATCATTTAAATAAAAAAATAGACTTTTGGCGTGAATTGTAAAAAGATTTTTTAAATTGTAAAAAATGGTCTTTTGGCAAATTGTAAAAAAAGATTTTGAAATTATCTTAATGGCGTGGGATTATCTTACAATACAAGCAACCAGTGTTCCATCAGAACGTGCTTGCTCAGTTGCTGGAAATATAATCAGTAAGGTGCGGAATTGCTTATTGCCAGAAACTGCAAGAGCATGTTTGTGCATGAAGAGTTGGATAATCAATAAAGTAGGGGTTTAGAGTGCTAGAATAATATTCTCAAAATTACTTATATATTTTTTTCCTAATACTTTCTTTATGTTTATTTTTGTTTTTTTGTAATTCTATACTATTTACTAATAAAAAATCATTAATGTTTGTTTTATTTTATGCACTTTTTTTTGTATATAGTTGGCTCGGTCTAAAGACCTCCTAAATTTTGTGCAAATTTTAAAAGTATAGAAGTCATTTTCTGCCCTAC